GGGGGGGGCACCTCAGTATATCGTCGTGACTGTAGTATCACAGTATATTGCAATATATTGTATCGTTGCCCCTGTGTCGTGATACGTATCGCATCGACAGATTGTTGCCAGTAGACACTCCTAGTTTTCTTTTTCTTTTCATTGTTTCTGATGCTTCTGTATCGAATTAGTTTTGGAACTTCTTTTGGCTAACAGATAGCAGTTATCTTTTTAGTTCTTTTTTATTTATTTAAATAAAAAAGAATTGCGGCTCAGCCGTAGAGGTCGGCTAAAGTGATTGAACTGATTGTTGACATATTTCAAATTCAACCGGGTTCCAATTATTTATTTATTCATTTATTTATTTCTCCAGATGGAAGCTAATCGGTGTGAACATGCTAACAGAGCGCTGCAGCAGGATCTGGAACAACTTAAAGTTCAACTTGAGCAGCAGAGAAACCACAAGATGGAGCAAGAAAGAAAAGTGAGTCGACGAGTTGACGGATATAAAAGAGTGAAACGTCTCAGGGTCAGTGTTTGTTGACCGTTGTATTTGTTCATGTGTTCAGATTGCAGTTCTCGAAGAGAGCATGAAATCCTGTGAAGAAGAAACCAAAGACCTACAGTCACAGGACGAGCAGGTGAAGACAGCGCCACCTGCTGTTCCTCTCACCGCTTCTTCTCTGAGTTTCCTCTGACTCCTCTGGCGTTTTTGTTTTAGGGACACACATCACTGAAGGTGTATGGCATGAACAGTGAGAGGCTTCAGAGGAACCTGGACACTGCTGCAGAACAGAACAGACTTCTCAAGGAGAGCAATGTTCAGGTAGGGGGCAGTGTTCCTGAAGTTGTAATGTTCCTTTAAGATTGGAAAATTGGAGAGAACTTTCACTGGTGACCAGCCAATCAGCAGCTGATCAGTTTGTGCATGCGTTTTGTCTCAAAGAACAACTCGACAGTTAGCCTAAGCTAACTTCTTCAACACTTCAGTTACGGCGGTTGGAGACGTTGATGATGGATCTGTTAGTCTGTCGATACAAATCCCTGACAACTCTCATTGGTTGAAATCAAAACTGAATGGTCCATCACTGGTCAGACCATGACACTACACCCTCCAGTCCAGCAGGTGGCAGTGTGCTCCTAAAAACCCACTATCAAACCCAGACGTCAGGTCCTACGTCGGCTGAGAGACGTTCAGGTGTTGGACCAGAACGTGGGAAGAACGTGTTCCACAGACACCAACAGTGTTCTCCAGAGTTCCTGCATGGTTCCATTCTTGTATGACCGTTGTTTTTCCCTCCTCTCCCCGTGTGCAGCTGCAGCAGCAGGTGGAGGGGTGGGCCGAGAGAGTGGGGGAGTTGGAGGAGGAGATGCAGAGGTGTGAGGTCACCTACAGTGGGATCCAGCAGAGCGTGGCCAATAAGGATGAGCGTATAAAGGTGTGGTACCCGCCCCCCACCCCCCCCCCCCCCCCCCACGAGGCGGGGGGGGGGGGGGCGTCGGTGGTCATTGTTGTGTGTTTCAGTCCCTGACAGACTGCCTGCTCAGGGTGAAGGACTGGGATTCAAACCTGGCAGCAGAGGATGGTGATAAAGAGGCGGCCAATGGGAGAGGAGAGTCCACGGACACGGACGGACACTTCCAGAACTTACAGAAACTCATTCACGCTGCCAAGGTACGTCACAGTGAAACAAACAAAGGAGGTGATCGTTGAACTCAGAAACAGCAACGCGTCTCCACAACGTTCCCTCGTTTTCAGCTAAACGCAGACCTGAAGTCAGTAGATGAAGACAAGACGAGAGTTTTTGCCAAACTCAACGATGAGGTGAAGGCCAAAGAAGATCTGGAAGGTGAGTCGTCGCTAACCGGCCTTCCCAGATGGGAAACAAAAGTCACTGCTGAAAATGTAATGTTAGTAACTGCAGGAAAGGTTACCGGTTCAAATCCTGGCTACAGTTGACATCTTCTCATTGTGAGCATGAGGGAGTGGGTTCAAATTAGGGATGTCCGATAACATCGGCCGACTGATATTAGCCAGATATTAGCATATTATATAGTACCTGTAAGAATCGTTATGCCCTAAAATTGTTTTGGGGGAAAACAGCTGTATATGAAAGTGAAAGTCACTAGATGGCAGCATTGCAGCTCATTTAATAAATCTCATTCTCATACAGTGGTTTTTACAGATAAATATTACCAGGTCTCTATCGGTATCAGTTGATATCGGAAATTAAGCGTTTGCACAATATCAGCATGTCGGACATCCCGAGTTAAAAGTACTGTTGAATATATAGTTTATTCACCATGACAATAACTCCTAACACCAGTCAAAGTCCTGGTGTAACCAGTAACCACCGTCTCAGCCAATTCAAAACATATATTTATATATATATTCATATATTTGTGCTGTATTTCCCTTCAGAGAGCATTCGGGATCTGGAGAGGGAGAAACTGTCTCTGCAGTCAGACACTCAGCACTTCTCTGACCAGGTGAGCTGACCAGCTGGTTCTAAACCTCTGGGCTGCGGGGACTTCTAGTCCTCAGTCGTTCTGCCTTTGAAATAATCATTGGACTGAATTCCAGGTGGAACGTTTACAGCAAAAACTCCAGATCATGACAGAAATGTACCAGGAGAACGAGCTGAAGCTGCACAGGTGAGGGCTCCTCATCCGACGTGTGTCCGACGGACGGACGGACGGATGTGTGTGTGTGCAGGTGAATGGAGGAAAAGTCCTGAGCAGTTTGTTGTCCTCAGACTCCTGACGGTGGAGGAGAAGGAGCGTCTGCAGAAGGAGGAGAAGTTACACAAAGCTGATAAAAACATAGCGTTGGCCATGGAAGAACTCAACAACTACAGGTACTGCTGACACACACACACACACACACACACACACACACACACAGCACAGGTGCTGGGTCTGATGGTCTCTGTCGACTGTCTCACAACAGACAACGAGCCGGAGAGATGGAGGAGGAGCTGGACAAAACCAAACAGTCGTACCAGACTCAGATATCAGCCCACGAGAAGAAGGCTCACAACAACTGGGTAAATAATACAGGTCACCAACAGGTCACCAACAGGTCACCAACAGGTCACCATACAGGTCACCATACAGGTCACCAACAGGTCACCATACAGGTCACTAACAAGTCACTAACAAGTCACCAGTGACTGTGGTCTGTTGTTGTTGTCTGTCCAGTGACTGTGGTCTGTTGTTGTTGTCTGTCCAGTGACTGTGGTCTGTTGTTGTTGTCTGTCCAGTGACTGTGGTCTGTTGTTGCGTCACCCACAAGTCACCAGTGACTGTGGTCTGTTGTTGTTGTCTGTCCAGTGACTCTGGTCTGTTGTTGTTGTCTGTCCAGTGACTCTGGTCTGTTGTTGTTGTCTGTCCAGTGACTCTGGTCTGTTGTTGTTGTTGTCTGTCCAGTGACTCTGGTCTGTTGTTGTTGTTGTCTGTCCAGCTGGCGGCTCGAGCGGCAGAGAGAGAACTGTCTGACATCAAGAGAGAGAACTCCCTTCTGAGACAAAAGTTTGTGACTCGATGTAGAAGAAAGAGAGAGAGAGAGAGAGAGACGGAGGAGAAACATCAGGCTAACACCAGGTGTGTGTGTGTGTGTGTGTGTGTGTGTGTGTGTGTGTTCACAGGCTGACCAACACACAGTTTAAACTGGACGCCTTAGACCAAGACCCCTATGCCTTGGACAGTCTGGCCAGACCACTGCCTTTTCGAGGTAAACACACACACACACACACGTACACACACACACGTACACGTACACACACGTCACCCTCATAGACCAGTCAGAAACGTTTTAGTTTCAGAACTTTTACTGAATCACTACTGCAGTCACTGGTTCTAAACTCCTCCTCCCAGAAGTTCAGAGTCAATAACAGACCTCCCTGGTCACAGTACTTGGTTTGATGAGTAGTACTTGGTTTGATGAGTAGTACTTGGTTTGATGAGTAGTACTTGGTTTGATGAGTAGTACTTGGTTTGATGAGTAGTACTTGGTTTGATGAGTAGTACTTGGTTTGATGAGTAGTACTTGGTTTGAGTAGTACT